CATCAATAGGTTTGCTAGTAGCTAAAAGTAGCAAAATGATAACTAAAGCTAAAAGTTGAAGAATAGTAGCTAAAAGTAGCAAATGTCTAGTTAAAGGTTTTACTGTATTTATTCAAGTATAATACTAGAAATTTAACCCTAAAAATCATCCATAAAGTGGGGGTGTAATATTATACACAGGTTATTGATGAATAGATTTTTTATGCTTTTTCAGCTCAAAAAATGATCGTATTATACGTGAATAAATACGGTAATAAGTTTTAATAAGTTATATTGAACATAACAGAAGGAACAGAATCGTTATTAATCGATTCAGAACTGAATCAAAATCGAATCGATTTAGAGCATTGACCACAACGCCCAGCCCTAACAGCAAGTATAGATTCTTCAGAATCCAGCTGTTTGTGTTGATCAAAAGCTGGGTTCTACTCCCGTTTTTCCCACCTATTTACGCATCCAGCAACAACGCAAAACTGGACCATTTCATATAAATTTGTGGAGAAGCGAGGGATCGTATATAAAACAAACAGTGCGTGTTGTCTTTCTGCCCGGCAGCGATGTTTTAAATCACACGGTCATGTGATCCTGACCTCCCTACAGCTTTCAGTGGGTTAAAAACATGTGAAACGCTCGGCCTGCAGGAATTATTGGTTTGTGCGTTTGTACCTCTGGTGTAACATCTCGTGGTGCAAACCCAGTTCCTCCGGTAGTGAGGATAAGATTCAGCTCCTGTTCATCACACCACTCCAGAAGAGTGTCCTGCACACGCGACAAAAATTAGTTAAAAATGACATCATCCCTTCTCACAACATCCAAAACTAACAGCTACGCTAGCATTACGCTAATAAATCTAATAAAACATGAAAACTTTTGTCTTAATCTTCTCTAAACACACGGCGCAGCTTTAGGGCGAGTAATCCGACGACGCGTACCTTGATTTCTTCGATCTCATCCGGGACTATTTTGTAGGCCGATATGACCCCTCCAAGTCTGCGGGGAGAGACGACAGTTAGTTTTGAGGCGAGGGGCTGCGTGTGCTCGGTGTGCGTCGGTGTGAAGACTCACAGCGAGGGATCGTGGACCAGGTCCTTCAGGTTGACCCCGCTCCGGTCTTCGGCCAGGTTCTTGTAGCAGCTGTCACTGACTGAGAGGAGGCAAGAAGAAAAGCTGAAGGTAGAKATTGCAGCATTGTGCAAAAGTCTTGGAGCAGAAAGAATATCCCACAGTCAAGCTGAGCGTGTGTGTGTGTGTCACCAAATTATCTCATGAACTACAAGGCAAATTTAACACAATTGTTTTATCTACTTAAACAGCCGAAATGACTTAKAACAGGTCAATAATGCAAATGCTGTTTGTTGTTTATTTATTTAAGAAGGGACAGTGCATAGTACAGAAAATGCCAGAATTAGCCATGGAGGCTAGTTTTCATCTGTAGTCCCTCAAGGTCCCGTGGTTATAAATACAATACAAACAAATCAACAAGTAACTTTCATTAAAAAAGTCTTAAAACAAAACAAAAAGCATGATTAAAAATAACAAAAGTGCATATTGCAGAAAATGCCAGAATTAGCCATGGAGGCCTTTTTTTTCTGTAATTCCTCAAGGTCCTACGGTTATAAATACAATACAAACAAATCAACAAGTAACTTTCATTAAAAAATACTAAAAAATGGCAAAAAGCATGATTAAAAATAATTTTAAAAAAAGCCATTTAGCACAACAATAACAATTCAAGGCAAAACATTAAAAATACAAAATGGATAAAAATGTTGTTAATCTCATACAAACAATAATGCAAACACTGTTTGAGATAGAGAAGTCTGACAATTTTGACACATTCGCACGTATTTATGCTTCAATTTGCTACGCAAAGTTTAAGTGAACAAATAAAAGTTTGTTTACATTGAGTGCGTACCCACATTTTAGAATTACACGTGAACATATCTGGAAAACAGTTTGAGCAAACTCTTTCAAACTGCACCGTTTGATGCAGGGCAGCCTTTTATGATGTTTGATTTACAAGAATTCTGGCTGCTTTGAAGAAAATAAACAGAAATGAGGCGTGGATGAGGACTTTTGCACAGGCCTGTGTTGAACTTATAAGCGCTGAACATCTTGGGCTAAATTTATTTGAGGCATTTAATACAAGATGGGGATTACAACTACAAGGAACGCTTAGTACTGAGTGGAAAATCGAGCAAAACGATGAAGGCTGCAGCTGCTGGCCTCTTCATCCTCTTCAGCATGATCCCCACGTCTTCTCCCTGCTTTTAGTGAAGGGCCAGCGGTGTTAGTGGGGACTGTAAACCCGGTCCTGTGCACGACTCTGAGGCCAGGATCAGCTGAGCCAGTTAGAAGACCTGGAGTCTGTTTTTTATTTATTTGTTTATTTATTTTTACCTCGGCGCTGCTGCCGCTGTCTGATTTTAATAACCAAAGGGAGTCGTGATTAAAGATGCCGGATGCACATGTGTGCATTTTTAAATAGAACTACGGAGCCCGGATGCCATTGAAGATCCGCAAATGTCTGCGGGAACGAGCTTTAACGGCGGGCAACACGTCGGATCTGCAAAGGGACATGAATAATGCAGCTCATGTAGGCTCGGCGGCGCTACATTGCAAGAAAATGTAATGTTCACTCGAGTCAAGCTGGAACCTTTCAGCAAAACAAAACCGGAAAAGCAGGGGTTTCACCTTCGAAATAAAAGCTTCCTGCTGTTAATTAACAACAAATGCCCGTTAAAAATAATCGCTCGCGCTGWATTTTGAAAGCATAAACCGGGGTTTCTTTCCCCTCTCGTGGGCCTTGATGCTAAATAAAATAGCTCAATACACGGACGTTTAACCAGCTGAAACGTACATGAATGTGTTAACAGATATTAAAATGCAAGCTTAAACATGAACAAACGATGATTTATCTTTAAACCTGGGTGTAAAAATAAACCCTGCATCTGTGCGAGCTGCTGAGGAAAGGCAGCTCGGACCAACCGGTTAGCATAGCTGCTAACCCGCTCGCGCTGCAGAGAGAGGAGACGGCTCGGATCGTGACAGCCGACGACAAAACACGGCGCGCCGAGTACATCTTGATCAAATGGCGTCCTTACCCGTCAGAATCCCCACACGGGTCTGATGGTCGTGGTTGGTGAGCACCATCCCGTCCGCCGCCATGTTTACAACCCCTGTCTGCACCGTGACGGCTCATACGTAGAGTCCGTGTGTCGGTGAGCAGCCCGCTGCGGCGGCTGGCTGCTGCTGCTGCTGCGCCTCCGGAGGATGACCCCGGTCTGTGCAAACATGCACCGGTGTCCTTTGGAGGGAACGACCTCCAGGTGATCAGACACCCACTGCAAAACTTAGCTCACCCACCCAAACAAATGTGAGACGTAAAGTAAGCCAGATTTTTTTTTTTTTTTTTTTTTTGTGGGTGGGGGTGGGGGGGGTTAAAAGACAAATAAAACAAATTGAAACTGATGGGCAGGCTAAAATTCAGATCAATTAAAGGCTTTGCGTTTCTTGAGGGAATGCATATCACCTACTGTATTTCACACCATCTTCTCCAGTAGCCATTTTAGTCAACCATTGAAAACTTTAGCTACTACCACACAACAAAATGAGTATTCCATGAGTTTCAGACACAGGTGGACACATTATCATTATTCATTTTTTTCCTTTCAGGCCTGTGGGGCCAAATTTGGCCTGCCACAACATTTTATGTGGCTCACAAGAACTTCAAAGGTGTATTATGTCTAATAAGCATATGCTGCTTTAAAGCCAGTATTTACAATTAYATAATCTCCCATAATGCATGTTGAATATTTTACACCTGAAATGATGACATTTCACCACTAAGTGGAGGCACACAGAGTTGAAAAAGAGACCGCGGAATTTTCTAATATCTACATTTCACAGCATTTCCGCTGGCTACTTTTGAGAGAAGGGGGTCTCTGCAGTACATGTTGTCTTGTGGGCGGAGACGGCCCTACTTGTGATTGGCGGAGGTCTAGATGTGGGCGGAGACGGCCCTACTCGTGATTGACGGAGGTCTTGATG